AATAAGTAATTTGTATATATATATCTATATATATATACATGTGCATACAGTTGCATGTGCACATACATAAACATATACATATTATTGTGAAGTATCCCAGTGCGACCCTACCTAGGAGTTGGAGCATCTAGGAAAGAAACATCTACATCTACACCGACAGCTACATTAACATCTACACCTGCATCTACATCTATATCAATATCAACAGCGAGACTCACATCTACATCTACATCTACACCTACATCTACACCTACACCTACATCTACATCTACATCTACACCTACATCCACATCTACACCTGCACCTACATCTACATGTTATGCTATGCTATGATATGCAATGCTATGCTATGCTATGCGATGCTATGCTGCGCTGTGCTGTACTATGCTATGCTAAGCTATGCTATGCTATGCTGGCTATGCTGCGCTATGTTATGCTATGCTATGCTATCATATGCTATGCTATGCTGCGCTATGATATGATATGATATGCTATGCTATGGTATGCTATGCTATACTATGATATGCTATGCTATGCTATGCTAATGCTGCGCTGCGCTAAGCTACGCTAAGCTGAGCTAAGCTAAGCTAAGCTAAGCTAGGCTAGGCTAGGCTAGGCTGAGTTAAGCTAAGCTAAGCTAAGCTAAGCTAGGCTAGGCTAGGCTAAGCTAAGATAAACTAAGCTAAGCTAAGCTAAGCTAAGTTAAGCTAGGCTAAGTTAATATTAGATAAGCAACGCTAAGCTAAGAAGACGTAACTGGGGGAACCGCGGGGCGGATGCCGGGGGAACCGCCCGGGGCGGGTTCCACTGCCCGGCCCTTTAAGCCTAATAATGAGAACCCTTCTAGGCAGAGCCTAGGTAGGGAATATATACAAATATCTGTATATATTCCTATACATATACATATACATATACATATACATATACATATGGATATACACATACATATGCATACACATATAGATCTGAATAGACCTATACATGTACATATACATATACATCAGCATCAACGTATACATAAACATCTACACATACATATAGATACACGTATACAAATGCATACATAAACATACACATAGACATAGACAAAGGCATAGACATAGACATAGACATACACATGTTCATCTACATATGCATAGACCGATACATACACATCTACATGTACATAAACACATACATCTACATAAACGTATACATACATATCTACATACATACACGTACATAGACATATACGTATACATATACCTATACATATACACATACATATAAACAGACATCGACATATACATATACACGTACACATACATATACACAGATAAACAGCGATCGAACGACCTACCGATATCACTGTATATCGGTGTCGATGTCTCTCTACCTGTCAGCCTCACTGTCGAAGTATACACCAGTCTCAATGTCTACCGACATGTCTACCAGTATGGTTCCGTGTGTGTCTATCGGTATTAGGACCATTCGATGTATCGAACTCACACTGAGCCAGTATACAAATGTTTATTTGTATAGGTATAGATGGTGCAACATATTAGTTCGGTAAACATATATGGTGGCATCAGTTTCTACACAGCTACTCCACGATTCGCCGATGGTTTGAGATCACGATGCGTCGATTCCAATTTCTACATCGACACACATACACATAGATCGATATACGTGACGAGTGGCATCAATGCACATACATATATACCTATATATGTGTGTGCAAACACCACAATCACCATACGTCTACCTGTGCTGCATGTGTATAGGCATACTGGTAAACACTCACCGACCGAAACAACTGCATGTCGGTATATCGTAAATAGATCGGTCACAACGAATAGCCACCTCTATATCACCTGCATGGATATACATTAATGATTCTGTATGTGCGTATTTATGTATAACTGTGTATACGTATACATACGTAGAGGTGAAGGTGTAGGTGTGTGTGTGTGTTCGGCATCGTTACGAACTACCCACCCATATCACGATCGACCAGTCGAGATAAGTCTGCCGACCCTGTCGGCGTGTGTGAGAGCCTTGCGAAACCAAATCGAGCCATTCTCACACCACTTTCAGGCGATTTCCATACACCTCCAGATCATGCCGTACGATTTTATTCATGCACGGGAAGCCCCTTACATGTATTCATTCCCCACCGGAGGGGCAACAAAAGGGAGCCCTTCCTCCACTTCTCCTCCCTCCTCCCTGTCGCCCCCCAAGAGGCCCCTATGAGGCCCCAAAAGGCAGACCACATGAGGACCCTCAGTAGGGCCCTTGGAACCACAATCAGCAATTTTCGTTTATGGGTTGACAGACTTGGGCATCTTCACATGACTTGGCTTCCTTCAACAGATGGCCCTAGAGGCCTCCAAAGAGCCCCAAAGAACACCTAATGATCCTCCAAGACGGCATACGCCGAGGAGAGACACACCGACACGACGCGGATGGGCGTGTCACATAGTATGACTCTCCCAAGCGCGGGTGCACAAACAATCGCACGTCACGGCCCCGCCGGACAGTTGCCACCCAGAACGCAGGGCTGGCACGACGGTGGGACTTGCCGCAGGCAGCTGGATCAAGTTTACCAGGAAGAAGAGGGCTACCGAGGCGGAGCAGATTCAGCACGCGACACTCTGTGCATGCCAAGGCACGACGCTCAATGGTGACGGGCGCGGCGCCTGGGTAGTCGGCAACCTTCAGCAGAGGCGGCAGCGACGCGCGAGCGCCCACCGGAGGCACACGAGGCCCCGCGCACTCTGAGGCGCCCCTTCCCCGCACAGCCGCGGGCGGCGCGACTCCAAATCCCGACCCCGCGCGCCGACCGCGGCGACACGGTCGCCACCCGTCATCCGACGCAGCGGCGAAGCAGGCCGCAGCCGCTGCGGCGGCGCAGAGCGCAGAAAAAGGCCCCAATGTATGGCAGCGGGGCAAAAAGTCGGCGGCCTGCCCCTCGGCGGCGCGGCGCGGGCGCCTCCACCTCTGCTGCTTCGCCGAGGAAAACTGCCGCCGTCGCGCCGCCCGCCCTCGGCCGAGGCAGGCGGCGCGCGCTGCTCAAGCCCAGCTCGCGCTGCCCCGCGGCATTCTCCCGCAGACGCCGCGCCTGCCTCGGCCACCGCCACCCGGGGCGCGCGCAACGATCCCGACGGAGATCCCCCCAGAAGCAAGGGAGCGCCAAGCCCAGCACCGCGACGGTTCGCGGCTGCCCTGCGCGCGCTGCACAGGAGATTCACGAACGGCGAGCAGATCCATCCATACCCGCGCCCTCGCGATCAGGATTCCGGGGCGCGATCCCGCGGATACGCGGTCGCATGGATACGTTCCGCGCGGGGCATCCGAGAAAAAACGCCGCGCATCCGCGAGATCGCAGCCCAGGGACCGCGGACACGTATATGTTGTCTAAATCGGCGGCGCAGAAGATCTTCAGACGCGGACAGCAAATGAAAGTACCAATTGCGATCGAACCTAATCGAAAGCACAGTGTACAAACCGTGCACACTGTCAAATGCAGCGATGGGTGGTGTGAAGGGGGAACTGTAAATCCAAGCGAACCGTGCAGCAGCCAGAAAACCGAGGAAGCAACTCAACTCAAGGTAAACTGACGAGCGCAGAGACGGATATGTCGCGACTGTTCTACAAGCCAAGGTGCCAAGGATCCTTGGCCCCCTGGGCGTCCGCCGCGGCGCGCAGACCGAAGGCGCACCCCGCCATCGCTGGGCCCGTGCCCTGGGCGACCGCGGCTGTGGTGCAGTGAATGTTCACATGAATCGCCAGACGCAGCCAATCCACGGCGCGCGCCAGAGAGAGAGAGAGAGATCTCGAGATCTCTCTTTCTCTATGTTTGTTTCTCTCTCTCTCTCTCTATTTGTTTCTCTCTCTCTCTCTTTCTCTCTCTCTCTCTCTCTCTCTATCACTCTTTCTTTCTAGAGTGTGAGAGAGAGATCTCGAAATCTCTCCCTCTACAGAGAGAGAGTGATCTCGATATCTCTAGAGATCTTTTTCTCTAGAGAGAGGTTTCTGGCGCCGAAGCTACGTACCGCGATCTGAAAGTATGGCTGTCAGGCGCAGTCAATGGACGCCTGGCCGTTTCCACTCATCAGCCCCTCGCGGACGAAGTCCTGGACTTTCCCACTGCTGACTTTGCGCCCGTTACACGCGTAGGTGGCGAGCGCGGCCTCGAAAATCCCGGCGGCTTTCTCTGCGAAGCCAGCCTCCATGGGTACAAGAGTCCTGTTTGGGCGCCGGCCACGCGCGAGAAGCATCTTCGCGGCATGACTCCTGGCCTTGAGGGATTCGAGGTTAGGGCGCTGTATCCATGAGCCTCGCCATCAGCTTCTCGGCCCTAGATATGTATATGATTGGTTGCTTGCTTCCTGGCGACATAATCGAAGCTTCTGTTAACTATGAACCCCGATCGTACAAACGCTGTAATTTGAGGTTGCAGCCCTCCCTGTGGCATTGCTTGCATCGGTGCTCACCGCATTGGTGGGGCCCGCCTTCATCATGCCCCTGTCCTGGGGAAAGGCGTCGCTCTGTCGAGAATGCGACACTACCAAGGCATCCAAGGAAGCCAAGCTGGTTCGAACAGGCTCGATCGTTGCGTCGACATTTTTGTCTAGCGTCTCGTCCAACAGAGTGAAAAATATGTGGCCAACATATGCGGCAACATCGTCGAAACGTACCGTCGCTTCACTCCCTGGAACCCTCGAAGACACGGAAAGTCTTGCCCTCCAGCGTGCGACAAAAAACTTGCCCTGCAACGAGCGAGAAAGCTTGCCCCCCCACAGGGCGAGACACCGCGCCAGGACGCCAATTGCTTCAATCACCCTCCACTCCCCATAGGAGAGAAGGAGCCTACGCAGGGGCTCGGGAGGGAGTGGGCCTCGGGGATGGAGGGAGCAGCGGTAGGAAGGAGGAGGAGGAGGAGGAGGAGGAGGAGGGAGGGAACGAGGAGGAGCGGAAGGAAGGAGGCCCCCCCCGCGGGCGCGCGCGCGCACGCGCGCCGTCGTCCCGGGGCGCGGCGGTGGCGCCAGCCGCCGCCGAGAGCCTGCGCGGCACGCGGACCCACGGTGCCAAATCGCAGCTTCCACGGCGGCATGTCTCCTTCCCGCGCCCCATCCATGTCCTCTTCTTCCTCCTGCTCCCCCTCGTGCCGCGGAGTCTCCGCCGCCGTTGCACTCCACCACCTCCGTCCCGTCCCTCCTGCCTCGCACCCACCCCCCCTGCTTCCAGCGTCCCGCCCCCTGCCTCACCCCTGCTCATCTCTCCCATCAAAATCCTCATCCACCATGATACTGTCTCATCAATCAATCCTGCCTTCCTTTTCTCTTCATCCTCCATTCCCCCTGTCATTATTCACCCTCCTTCTCCTGCTCCTTCTCCTGCTCCTCCTCCTGCTCCTCCTCCTCCTCCTCCTCCTCCTCCTCCTTCTCCTCCTCCACCTCCGCCTCCTCCTCCACCACCTCCTCCTCCTCCTCTTATGATTATTGTGATTAGTAGTATGGCTATCTTGAGTATGTGAATATGATGCTTCGCAATATCAGAACTCTTAGTAGTATCAATGTTGTTCTTCTTAGTATTATTAATGTTCGTGTTACTAGTATTCGCATGACGATCATTATCCTATATATCTGTCATATCGTTACTATTGTTATTAAACATAATGTGGTTATTATTGGTCTTAGTATTCGTAAAATTTTCCGGTGCCCGGTGCTTGATACGAGTCTTCTCACTAATAGTATCCACAATCGTTGTTTTCATTCAGCCTTTTATCATTGTTACGACTACGATTATTATCAGTAGTGTTCGCATTCGCCTTACCATTATTCGTGTTACTATTTATAGTGGTATGATGAATAATATGATTTTTCGTCTTCTCATTATCATTACTAAAATGCCTATCAGTATCACTATTATTAGCGGTATTAAGATTACTATTAATAGTGGTGTCATTGTTTTCCTAGGCTTGACAGCTGCATCTGCATCGGGCGATGATCTCTAGCTGACACCGCGCTATGTAACTGCAGTTTGCGGCCTGACCTCACCAGTACACGACGCCGTTCCACAGCTCGCATCGCCATTCTCGGTATCGAAATGTGATCCATGTGCGACTCGCCACGCAGTCCTCCGCACGTGCCTGGATTGACGGAGTGTGAGTTGGCGCCGGTCAAATCTCAGCCTGCAAATAGTGGCCTCAGTACTGCCATCGGTGCTAAAGGTGCACCTCTAGACTGAGGCCCCAGAACACAATCATTTCCAGTGAACGGGAGCCCTCCATTCACGTCAGTGCATATTATGGGTGTCGCGCTGCGTGGTGGAAACATTGCATTGTACTGTCTATCAAGCCGGCGATGGCCGTCAATGTTTTGTCGCATGCTGCCCTGCCCTTCTCCTCTTTCTGTCTGCACGGCCCGTACAATGCGATGAACCCCAGAGGATGATTTTCGCTGGCGAACAGAAGTGCTGCTGCTCTTCCCCTGAGCTTGGGCGGGACTGGAACAGTCCTTCGAAGCTCACTATTCTTGAACCTGCTGCTTCGAAACAAACACTTACTCCGCACGTCGCGTTCGTGAGCTTTCCCTTCCCATACCCATGCTCAAGACTCCGATATCCTTCCACATGTTTATTCTCCTCCCACTGCTTGCCCGTGCTACGCTCCTGTGTGCCTATCTATGCAAAAACATCCCGATTTGGCAACTCATGCAACATTTCCGTCATTCTCGATGTAGAACTGCACGCGCACGGGTTATAGCATACCACACATCGTAATATCATTGTCCAACGAGCTGTGTCTGCGGGACGAATGCGATGCCGCCTCTGCCCATGAGAAACCGAATGTCATCGCAGGCCCGCGAGCGATTGGTGTGGCGGAATTCGCACAGCTGGCATGACCTCTGCCTTTGCGCGTTTCGAGCAGCCACCTCCTCCTCCTCCTTTTCCACCTCCTCCTCCTCCTCCTCCTCCTCCTCCTCCTGCTCCTCCTCCTGCTCCTCCTCCTCCTCCTCCTCCTCCTCCTCCTCCTCCTCCTCCTCCTCCTGCTCCTCCTCCTGCTCCTCCTCTTCCTCCTCCTCCTCCTTTTCCCCCTCCTTCTCCTCCTCCTCCCCCTCCCCTGATTGAGCCTCCTATCCTACTTGTCGCCCGCCGTGGGCACACCAGCATATACCGTGGGCCGGCGGAGTAAGAGAAGCAATTCCATAAATCCAGCTCCGTCCCGCTCTGTCCTGTGCCCCCCCCCGTGCTTCCAGCTCCTCCCTCTCCTTTCTTTATGTGTCCTTTCTCCCGGTTCCCTCTCTCACCGTTCCTCCCTCCTCTCCCCCTCCTGTCTCCCAACTCCCTGTCGTTTCACCCTCCTCCGTCAGCACCCTCCTCCGCCTCCTTGTCACCTCTCTCCGTCCCTCCGCCCGCCCCTCTTCACTCATCTTCCGTTTTTCCTCCGTTGTTTCTCGTACTGCTCGTCACCAGCGCAATTAGCGTCACCATCTGCATGAAAAAGGTACTCGCGTCACTACACCAGTCGAGTTTGCGAACAAGTTGATGGTGAGAATGTGAGAGGTTGATCGAGCATTGGAATTGGGGACTGCAACATCCACAACGGAACTGTACTACATATCAAATGCACACACTCTACTCAAGAGACGAACAGACTCTACTACCTTCTCCCCCCCCCCAGACCGCCCCCCCAGAACACAGCAAATGACATACGATTATGTCCCATCGTTCATTTCCATCCGAAACCATAATTACCATCTTGGGCGACCGGGTGTTGACCCCCACCTCATCCCCATCAGAGAAATGGTGCGATGGTACCCGGTTACAGCAAATGATCAATGTTAACCGTCCATACGCGCGCGCCGCCGCGCGAGCAAGCATGTGGATCCGTCTTGCCAAGTCAAACCATCGAACCAGTCGCGCAAAAGTGCCGAAACCGTTCAACCATCATCGTGCGCCCACCAACTCTGTCAAAACCTTGCGGGAAGTACGCACGCGTTTCCGCTCGCGCATGTCGAGATCATGTCAGAACGCATCGATGTTCACCGTTACCCGCGCAGTCGCTACGATCATCGTCATCGCCATCGCCATTCTCGTCCTCGTTTTCATCATCATCATCATCATCATCATCATCAGCAGCAGCAGCAGCAGCATCATGATCATTATCACCAGCAGCCGCAAAATCACCTTAACAAGAACCGCCATCATCGTGATCGTCAGCATCACTATCATCAGCAGCAGCTGTATTACCATCATCGTCACTAACATCATCATCAACAACAGCATCATCACCATCATCATAAGCATCACCACCATCACCACCACCATCATCATCATCAGCAGCATCATGGTTATCAGCATCATCATGTCCACCACCGTCATCATCAGCAGCAGCATCAGCAACATCATCACCACCACCAGCATCATCGTCATCATCAGCATCATCTAAGTCATCATTGTTTGGATCGTCACCGCCGCCGTTATCGTCATGGTCGACGTCGTCGACATTGCCGACGTCAGGAGGGCAGGACGTTTGCGCGAGCATTGAAGTTGGCGCCTGCCGTTCCCAAAGGAGGACTGCACCACATGGCTTCCACCAAACAGCATGCATGTCCAGAATACAGGAACTGACTGCATGGGGCTCACGCTGACAAGCATCCTTTCAACAAACAGAGACAGCCTCCCTTCACGTCTTCCTCCGCCTGCAGAGGCGGCCGCAGAAAAAACGGCGCTCCCCGGCGGGGTCTCCGCGTCCATGCTGGCCGCCTGTGGCGGCGCAGGCGGGTAGGGAGGGGGGAGGAGCGACAGCCGTGGGCCAGACCCTGTGCAACCACGGCCGCCAACCACCCGCAGGACGGGCGCGCGACCCTACGGGCGGGACCCGCCGCGCATGTCCACTGATCCGCAGAAGACGTAGCGAGCCACCGTGCCGCGAGACACTGAGTGGAATACCCCCGGGTTCCTGGAATACCCTGCAAAAGGCCCAGACTCCCAACTCACGGAACCAGGCCTCGGGAGCGGGAATAGGAATGCACACTTCCACATGCCCTGCGATGTTCTCAGAGGGCCGTCCTGGGCTTCTCTTGGGGGCCCCTCGGTCCGTCTTAGAGGCCATGGAGGCTAAAACAGCCTGAGAGGGCCACAAGATCGCCCCAAGGCAACAAGTCCTCAAGAGAGGCCCAAGATGACCCCACAAAGGCCCCAGGCTAAGCCCAAGAGGGAGAACTCGAAGGGGCCATTAGGGCCCTCCACCCCAACATGGCCCTCGAGACCGCCTCCTGGGGGCCTCCGAGAGGAGCACAAGAGGACCCCAAAAGCTCCCGAGAAGTCTGCAGAAGGCCCGCGAGAGGCCTCCGAGAAGCCTCCAAAAAGCAACAAAAGACATCCAAGAGGCCCCGCGAGGCTCTCCAAAAGACCCCAGGAGGCCTCTAAGAGGCCTCTGGCCCACGACCCAGGCACGATGGCGGAACAGGCCGAAGGCCACAAGATCCGCCGCACCCGTAGCCTGCGGACGGGTGTTGGCGTGCCAATGTTTATCGGAGACGCCTACGGCGAACCACCGCCCCCCCTTGCATGCTGGAAACGCCTGTGATGAATTGTCGAGCGAACGTGCAGCCATGCCAGAGAACTGCGTGCTCCCCACCAGCGCTTGGTGAAAACACTGGGGACCGTTGGAGAGGGGCCCTCATGGGGTCACCGTGGGGGCTCGCTCTCTTGAAGAACGCGGCTAAACGTCAGGACTCGCCTGCTTGCCTTCGAGAAGCTCTGTGCCGCAGGGCGCGCAGCCGATCTGCAGACGGACTGCATCCTAGTCGCAATGCCGAGCGCCATGGAACGGGCATACAGTTCGACAGAGCTCTGGCCACTGTGCGAGCAGCTGTGGCGACTTCTTCGTGCCCTCGAGAACGGAGGGATTCTCTGCACGGTGGTAGAAAGTTTCAAAGAAATCCGTGTTCTCGCGGACTCTATGGCGAACGAAACGATCCATGGATCCAGGGTCCTAGCCCACCCCCCACATACTGATGCCGTCGGACCCCCCCCCCGCGCGATGGTCCCCCCCCTTTATGGGCGTGGCGTGGTGGGGTCTTCCCCTGTGGGAGTGCGAGAGAGTGAGAGAAAGGAGCAAAGTAGGGAACAGAGGGCCAAGGAACGAGGAGGGAGGGATGAGGGGGACGGATGGAGGAGGAGAAGCAACATCGTCGTCGACGGTGTTTTTCCCGTCGTCGCCTCCCTCTGGGTGTGGCCTGGTGTTGCTGTGTTTCAGGGAGCCGGAACGGGCGATGTCGTCGTCGTCGACGTCGTCGTCGACGTCGTCGCCGCCGTCGTCGCCGCCGTCGTCATCATCGTGGTCGTCGTCGTCGTCGTTTTCGCCGTCGTCGTCGTCGGCTCCTCTCCATCCCATCTCAGGGGGGGGCCCGGGGGACCCTGAGACCCAGGGGGGGGTCCGTGGGCCCGGAGCCTGGGATCATCTATGCTGAGCGCGGCGCGGCCAACTCGTGGAATCTGACCCGTTGATCACAATGCCCGCAGCTCTGAATCCAGCAGCGAAGCGTTTAACATCCTTTGTCGAGGCTGTGTTGTATATATCATGGACCTCGTCCTCGTCGTCGTCGTCGTCGCCATCGTCGTCGTCGTCGTCCTCGTCCTCGTCCTCGTCCTCGTTTTCGTCGTCCTCGTCCTCGTCATCGTCCTCGTTGGGCTCTCTTGAAGGTTTCCCGATGCTCTCTGCGGGCCACATTTGTCTCGGGGTGCTCTCCCTGGCCGTCCGGCGCCCTCCTGAAATCATTTTGGACGGAGTTCGCCGTAGGCGTCTTCGATCCGCCGCCCCCTGGTGATTCATCACAGGGGTGCACGGCATGCTGAACTTCTGACAGGTTCTTGTTTTTCTCCACATTTCCGACTTGGCTTCGGCCAATCCCGCCGGCCACCCAGAAAGCTCCCAAATGTCGTGCTCCGTTGGCTCCGTCGCCTCCAAGACGGCCAAGACGGCCCAAGATGGCCTCCAAGTCAGCGCAAGCGGGTCCAAGATGCCTCAAAGTCTGCCCACGAAGCCACCAAGACGGCCAAAGAGGCCTCCAAGATGGCTCCAGGACGGCCCAAGCGGCCCCCAAGACGGCGCGAAGAGGGCCCCAAGACGGCCCTGAAGCGCCCGACGAGGACCCCAAGTCGGCCCAGAGAGGCCCCAAAGACGGCCCAGAGAGGCCCCCTAAGACGGCTTCCAACCGCGTCAGACGTGCCAAGAACTCCCCCAGACGGCCAAAGAGCATCCCAAGGAGCATCCAAAGGCACCCAAGAGGCCCAAGGAAGCCTCACGAGGCCTCCGAGAGGCCCCCAAACAGTGCCCTAACAGGCTACCAAGAGGCCTCCTCCTCATCATCATCATCATCATCCTTGTTCCTCCCTCTCCTCCTCTTCTTCTGTCTCCCCCGCGTGCTCCCCGAAAGGTTTCAACAACGGCTGGGGGAACACATAATCCGATAGCTTGGCTGAGCTCTGGCCGCAACGTTCGGCCAAAGAGGCGTTTCTTGAAGGCAGGGGGCGGCGGTGATTCGCCGCAGGCGTCTTCGAAAACACCACCAAACTTGGCGGCGAGACAATTCCGACAACAGAGGGAACGAAACGAGGAAGGACCGATCCTGGGACCCGACACGGGCACCCACAGGCCGCTAAGCCTTGAAGGCCCGCGCCAGACGTGGTGGTGCACAGCTGCCTTCTGCAGATGATGGAACCCGACTGCAAGCATCTGTCACCCGACTGACGGCACAGCAGCCGAAGGCGCCAAGGCGGCGCGGCGGGGCAGGGGGTAACGCCTCACCGCCTTCTCCGCCAGAGGTCGGCGGCGCACGCTGCGGGGACAAGTCCTGTGAGCATCTTCGCCTCCTCGTCCTCTTCCTGCCCCTGCTCACTCTCCGCCCTCCACCTCCGCCCTCAACATCCCTCTCACTCCATCCCATCCATTCCCGTTTTTTCCCTTCTCCTCCTCCTCCTCCTCTTCCTCCTCCTTCGTTCTTTGTCCTTATACATCACTTGTCCCTGTCGCACCCCGAGGCCAGTGTTTAGGGCGGGCCGGACGTTTCGCCTGAGACTTCCTCACCATGTATGACTCTGAAGCTTAATACTTGGCAACAGCATCACAAATGGAGTGCGGGTCGTTTACAAAATGAGCCTTTCGCCTTAGCGCCGCGCACACTCGCTCTGAAAGCTTACAAGAGCTTCACGGATTGAAGGCGACCCGTTTTCAAAATGTGGCTCTCGCCGTAGCGCCGCGCACGTTCGTGTCGAAAATGCAGGAGCTGCAAGGATTGAGGGCGACCCGTTTTCAAAATGTGGCTCTCGCCTTAGCGCCGCGCACATTCGTCTTAAAAAATTGCAAGGGGGTTCACCGAATGAAGGCGATCCGTTTTCAGAATGTAACTCTCGCCGTGGCGCCACGCACATTCGTTGAAAAAGTTTGCAAGAGCTGCACGGATTGAGGGTGGCTTCTCGCCTCAGCGCCGCGCACATTCGTTTATACAATTTGCACAAGTTTCACGGGTTCGCATGATCAACGTACCAGAAGTAGTGTTCTAGAAAGATTCAAGATTATACGGGTGCCACACTTCCATTGGCTCGCGATGTTGAAGTTCCAAGAACGGCATTCTGACACGATTCAGGATCGTCAGGTTGATCCGGGGCGTTGGAATCCCGAGAACAATGCTTTGAAATGCTTCAGGGTCGTCCAACGGTTGCCTTCCAACGGTGCACTTCCCCCAATGGAAATGAGCCGTTCTCGGGGCCTGTGAAGAGGGTGCTTGAAGGGAGGGTTTATTCCAACATCGTTGAGGGTTTGCGCAGGTCCTCCTCCTCCTCCTCTTCCTCCTCCTCCTCCGCCTCCTCCTCCGCCCTCCTCCTCCGCCTCCTCCTCCTCCGCCTCCTCGTCAGTTTGCTCCTCCTCCCCCTCCTCCTCCTCTACCTCGTCCTCCTCCTCCTCCTCTTCCTCCTCCTCCTCCTCCCCCTCCTCCTCCTCCTCCTCCTCCTCCTCCTCCTCCTCCTCCTCCTCCTCCTGTTCCTCCTGCACCTCCCTCTGTTTCATCCTCCTCCTCCTCCTCCTCCTGCTTCCTCCTCCCTCCTCCCTCTCCTCCTCCTCCCTCCTCCTGCTCATCCTCCTCTCTCTTCCTCCTTCGCCTCCTCCTCTCCTCCGCCTCTTCCTCCTCTTCCTCCTCCTCACCCTCACCCTCACCCTCACCCTCACCTCACCCTCCTCCTTCTCCTCCACCTCCTCCTCCTCATCCTCCTCCTACTCCTCCTCCTCCACCTCCTCCTCCTCATCCTCCTCCTCCTCTCCCTCCTCTTCCTCTTCCTCCTCATCCTCCTCCTCCTCCTGCTCCTCCTCCTCCTCCAGCAGTTCTGGCTCAGGCGTTTTGCCTGTGCGTATAACAGCATATCGTCAGAACGGCACACTGCTGTTACGGGCCTGTTTGGCGTCTGTCGTTCAGTTCAGTTGGAGGGATCTCAAACCTCGCTACATCTGCTCCTTCGGAGCCTGTCGTCACGATCCTGTCGCGGGAGCCATGGCGCCCACGGGCTCTGGAGGGAAAGGGGCTGCTGGCCGTGTCTCATGGTGCCCGCGGCACACGGCATGGTCAAAGCCCCCGCTCAAAGGTTCCTGTAAAGGTGCTGCAGCAGGCGACTTTCGTGGTTTTCATCCTCGTGATCGTTGGCCTGCCCTGTCGCCTGGCCGTCAGCCCCGTCGACCAGCTGGAGCGCAGCATCAGCAAGCGGGTGGAGGCAAATGGGTTTGCAGCACATGTGGATGCCGAAAGAACAAACCGTCGTATTAGTTCTGCAAGCATTGCGGCGCGCTGCGCAGCCAGTCCTCGACCATTCCGACAGGCTCTGCATGGGCAGGCTCCTCTGGGCTCGCTCTATTCCAGCCTGGTGGCGGTGCTCGTGTGCCTGGCCTCCAAGGCGGCAGTGGCCCCCCGCAGCATGGCAGCCAGCTCCCCGCCCTCTCGATGCCGACTCGACTGGCGATGACGAGCTCGATGAAGGGGCCCGCGAGGAGATCGACAAAAGGCGTGACACACTTATTTCGCCCCTCGCCAAAATGGCCAAGGGCTTGTTCGCCAAAGATGCAGCCAGTGCTCGCGAGGCAAGGGAAGCACACTCCCTGGTGCCACAGCTCGTTTGGAGGCCAAGCGCAGGAGGACGGAAGTGGGAGAAGCTGCTGGCGTTCCATTGGTTGCTGCTGGTGCTCCTGATGTCGCTGAAGCAGTTCCAGCCGCAGCGGCACGCGCCGCTTCCTCTACTGAGCGTGAGCCAGCCGAGTCCGCCGCGGCCCACGAGGGTGACTGCGGCGACAACTCGGACGATATGCTCGCTCGTGTCCGCGCGGAGGCTGCCAAAGTCTCTGAGCAAGCGACACACACACAACCAATGCGTGAGGGTGCGTGTCCTGCGGTTACGGTTCGTGGGGGGGATCGTCAGCTTCTTAGCTTTAGTCCAGCTCGATTTCTCTTTTCGGCCCCTGGTTCCAGGGGCAGTTCGGGCGGCTTGACGGATACCCCTTGGCTGCCTGGCCACGGTGTCTTAGGCCACCCGAGCGCAAAACTTCTTATCCCCACCTGAAGCTCGACGCAGTATCTTAAAATAGTGTCAGGACGCCGGCGGTTCCTCGTGCGTTGAAAGGTCGTTGCAGCAGCCTGCGCGACCGCCAATGCCCGCGCGGACTGCCAGCATATCTGATCTCCCCAGGCCTTCTGTCCAGCCCCCGTTGCCTGGGACGGGGCACACCTCAAATTCTGTCGCCGCCACGCCCGAAGCCCCCCCCTGGATCCTTTTCACTTGGAGGTTGGGACGATCAACGGCAACGCTTGGTCGTCGGTGAAGGAATGGCTGCCTCAGCGTTCGGCTCATGTGGCGCTCATCCAGGAGCACAGGCTCCAAGAAGGGACCCTCTGGACTTGGCATCTCAGCGGTGCAACAACAATGGCTGGAAGTCCCCCTTGAATCCCTGACGCGCGGGCCCGGCGGAGGCCCATCATGTGGAGTGGCTATCGCGGCCAGATCCTGGTTAGGTCTGCATGCCCCTCCTGACGGGGTTAGTATTTACGCCCACAGGGCGATTGCTGGCATTGTTCACCCTCCAGGGGGTCAGTCTATTCTCCCCTCCTCGATCTACCTCAGAGACTCAGTGGGGTTGGACGACTGCAACGTTGAGATTCTGGATCACGCGGGAGCGTCTCTGTCGGTGCGCGGATTGCCTTTCGCGCTGGGCGGCGACTTTAACCTGGAGCCTGAAGCCCTGCACGAGTGCGAGTTCGCCCAGAACTTGCGCGCGCAGCTGGTTGAGAAAGGCCCCAAAACTTGTTTCGGCGCGGGCGGCCCGAAGCGCTTCGATGACTTTGTGATTTCGGGCGGCCTGGCGAAGGCCGTGCAGTCTGTGTCCGTGGACTCCCAGTCGTCCTCGTTCGTGCCTCACGTCCCTGTTCGGGTCAATTGATCGCTGGACTGGCTCAGCTCCGTGCATCGTCATTCCGAAAGCCCCCCCCGATCGTCGTGGATGCCCCGACCGGTCCCATGCCCGAGCCCCCGTCGCACGAGCGGCGTAAGACTCTGGAGGGCCAGGCCCTCGTCAGGGCCCAGCGGGGGGAGCTCGAGGCTTTAGACGACGTTCTTTCTGTGGCCTACAAGCAGTGATCCAATACTTCTGAGAAAGAGTTGTGTACTGTTACGGGCATCACCCTCCCGTTCTATGGAGCGCGCGGGAAAGGAGTCCCGCTTTGGTGGCGTCCCGTTTTGGGGCGTGATCGAGGTGCGCCTCGCTATCCAGTGCTGCCTGGCATGAGATGGTCGAACTCGCACTTCCAAGCTTTTCTCAGGCTCTACAATGGCCACTCTGCCGCGCTGACTGCCACTGGCAGTGGCCTGTGCGACCCGCCGCCTGCTGTCGCCTCTCACAAAGGTCACTTCGCGGCTCTTTACACCGAGGTGGCCATGTCGCTGCGAGCTCGGTTGAAAGACCGCCAGGATCCTAGTGTTTGCCTCACTGGCCTGGGCCAGAAGATTCAGGACGACCTTGAGAAGTGTGTGAAAGCCTTCTCGGGGCAAGCTCGCAAGGACTGGTATACCTGGCTGCTGGGCGGCATCAATCCAGAGGCCCGTCGCGCCCATCAGATTTCGAAGGGCCCCGCGGCTTGGCGCCCCACCAGCAGCTTGGAACATTCGGGTCCCTGGTCTCTGATCCTCAGGAGCTCCTCCGTTCGGAAAGAGACAAGTTGGGGGCCCTCTGGAGGGCTCAGGAGCATCCTGGGAGCCTTAGATGTGCCCGCTCTGGGCCGCTCCCCATCACTTCCCCTGACGGCGTTCGGGAGATGTCTCGTTCGTTTTCCACGAGGTCTGCTGTTGGGCTGGACGGCTTCCACATGCGCCACTACCAGTTTCTTTCTGACGCCTCGCTCGAGTGCCCGGCGCAAGTGCTTCTCGCGGCTGAAGTCGGCGGCGCCGTTGCCAAAGCAGCTCCGTGCGCTGATCGTGGCCACGATCCCTAAAACCGTCCTTGGCTGCCGCCCGAGTGGGATTCTTCCCAGCCCCCACCGCCTCCGGGGGCGGCGTCGGAGACCCGGGGCCCAGGCCCGGAAGATCGAGCACGATCGGCCCTGCTGGACTGCGGGAACATTCGGAGCGCCACGGACACCGCACGGCGCCAGGCCCTCACAGCGGAGACCAGCACGGCCTCTGAGTTGCATTCTGGCGGCCCTTACTGGCTCATGCCGAAATGTTACGAGCAGATCCCTCAGGTGCTGCTCGAGCAGCGCTGCCGCGGGCTTAACTTCCATCCAGTGCTATCGGGAGTTTGCCTGTGTGCTTACCGCTCGTCCAG